TCGATGACACGTCGTTAACTTCCGTCCGCTATCTGATTATCGTATTGGGAACGTAGCCATGACGTAAGATTCTGAAGACAGTAAACTCTGTGTAGAATATACCTGTTGATATAAGGTTAGGATTTGATGTCTAAACCTATAGCAACTCAGTACTGCACTGTTGTTCTTTTAAACTGACTTCCTTCAGTGGCGCTTTACTACGATTCACTGTCAGAAATTCGTTTGAGATTCGCTCGAAGCTTATCTGTGATGAGCATACAGTTTTGCGTAGGTGCTTTACTGCTTGGAATTAAGAGGCTCGGTATAGCGACTGGCAGGAAATTAACTCTGTGACACAGAAGCCGGAAAGGAAACTAGACCACACAATTAATCAAATCTTTACTCCTCAAAGGTTTGCGACAAATGTTGAGAGTATTTGAAAGTGCTTTATGCCTTTTTGACGAGCGTGAAAAGAACTTACAACAGTGGGTACGATCGAAGCTGCAGAGAGTGTTAAAGGAAACCTGGGTAAAAGTCAAGCAGACAGTGGTAGCCGTCGTGTCCTCATACTGTTCAGAGATTTGTATCCGGATAAATGACAAAAAGTCAATGCCTTTCAAAATGCGAATTTGTCATCGTCAAACGTTGTGCTGTTTGATATCTTCAAAATTTTGATTTAAAGAAACAACACTTGGTTTCCACGAGTAATACTGCCATAAAAAATAACGATATATGTCATTACACCGGGTTATACACTGCCCATATCCTTACTTCTATGAACCTATGGCACCATTTAAATAGTCCACGGCTATGGCATGACATTTGAGTACTGGCAATGAATGAGTGCAGCACGGCATAACTGTAACTGAATAGAGTAGGAACTAGACAGGTTGGCATGGAAGCTCGAAGTGGTGATTCAGGCAAGACGCATGTTCATGACTCCATTGATAATGTTCTTTAATCCCTATGCATTGTTTTATCTTTAAACTTTTCGTTTGCAGCAATACTGCAATAGATAATGATGATATATGTCATTTTCATGTGCATCCTTCTTAATCAGTCTGAGGTGTCCTGTCAGTACCAAATTATTATTGCCGAGTTAACGGATGGATTCATTGAAATATTTTACAACTTCGGATGCAACGGTATCGAAGTAAGACGCCACTTTCTATATTGTTCAAGATATTTTACGGATTAAGCCATGCCGAAAAGCGTAGTTTCAAGGGGTAACTGAGAAACTACCATCAATGAGCGATTGAGTGTTTCCCTTTGTACTTATATTGACTTTGGGAGTGCAGGGTGATGCCATTCCACCGATCTACTTCGCATTTTGCCAGCTAGCAGTTACCGAAGTTATCGACAAAATAGCGCTAATAGTATGGTTCCACTTCCGCCCCAAGATAAGTAAGGTCACGAGATCACCAGTCTCTATTAACAGCTTTAAGATTCTTTAGAAAGCTTTGGTGATGGAAGAGACAAATCACCTGAAAAATTTTGGAATGGTTCCTACTAAAAACGATGGCTGTTGTCCAGAAGAAACCAGTCATTAGACTGGCATCTGGAATATTTTAGAATACACTTTGAAGTGCGCAAAGATTAGTCAACGAGACCAAAACAGACGAGCACGATCGCGATAGCAGCTGTTTGCACATCTTGTTGCACTTCCTTGAACCACCTTCTGTCACGAAAGGTGGAGAAGCTCAACTTGGCCATTTCCACCAGTACCGCTCCTGGAAGATTTCAAATTGGAGCGGCAGGACAAAGTCACGAATGAACAAGAGTTAGCTAATCACTGGCCTGAGTAAAGTACAAGGGGAATTCCGAGATGGGCATTTCGTCTAACTTCTT